GGGGGGGGGCAGGTGCAGAGTGGAGGGTGTCAATAGGGGGGAAAAAGGGACATCTGTAATACTTTCAACAATAAGATACATTTTAAAAAAGAAAAAGAGAGAACAGATAGGTGGTTGCCAGTGACTGGCAGAGGAGGGAGGGATTGACTACAAAGGCATGGGAGAGCTATTTTGGATGATGGAGCTATTCTGTAACTTGGTTGTGGTGGTAGTTACACATGATCATGTGTGTCAAATCACAGAACTGCCCACTACAAAAGGTAAATTTTCTAGATGCAAATTAAAACTTAATTTAAAAATGTAGGTGTATAACTTCTTTGTTCTTATTATCCAAATACATTTTATTTTTGAAAAACAACACCGTTTTCATTTTCCTAACATATGGCAAGCTTTAGCCAAAAATATTACTAATAATAGCTGAATGAAACTTCCAGACTGACCATTCTTAGTTCTCTTTCCAAGCTCTTCCCTCAAGGACTTCTCTCTTCAGAGAGTTTTCCAGTGTGGATCTGATTGTAGCCCTCAGAATTATAGTCCCCTCTTAAGAATGCCTCGCTTTGGCCAGTGTGGCTCAGTGGTTGGAGTGTTGGTCCAAGCACCGAAGGGTCTCAGGTTCTATTCCTGGTCATGTGCATGTGCCTGGGTTGTAGGTTCATTCCCCTGCCCTGGTTGGGGTATGTGCAGGGGGAGGAGGGAAACCAGTTGATGTCTCTCCCTCTCTCCCCAACTCCTTCCTTTCCACTCTCTCTAAAAATCAATGGAGAGAATATCCTTGGGTGAGAATTAAAAAAAAAAAAGTCTCAGAATCTTTACTGTTTTTCTCATAGGTTAATACAGCTAAACCCAATAGCCAGAACCTGTCTGTGATTTTTTTTCCTCCAAATGCTCTTGAACCCTAGCCCTAGTTTAGCATTTGGGAAGGGCTCAGCAATGATGAAATACACACAAATTAAATAAATCTGGTATGATCGCATTTTCTTGGTGCTTTATGGAATGGCAAAGTCTCAAAAACCACCAGTCGAGGTCAGATTTTCCTTGTTTGTCGATGAATATGGAATGTGGGGTGGAACCATAGAATCGCAGAATGTTCAAGCTGGAAGATTTTTTGGGCTCAGCTAGTCCAATGCTTTATTTTACAGAATCAAAAGCTTCATTGCCTGTTAGCCACTATCTAGTAACTTCAGGCACTCTCTGATCTTACATTCCTTGGGTTCAATCCAGACCCAGGTCTGAGATACACTGTGCTCCTAGAGAAACACATTCCACTTGGATAAAGCAAAACAAAAGCCCAGCCACCTATTCTACCAGCAGACAGGAGTATAAACATGCAGTTCTGAGGGTGCATCAGCCATCAGCTATGCTGTGGTTCATTAAAATGAGGCTCATTTAAGTAGCTCTTGAGTTTTCCCCTAAGGTCATGCATTTGGGTTCCAGCAAAGTATCTCTTGGTCCAGGAAACAAGACTCTCGATTTATTTGGTTTTATGTATTTATTTATTGAAATTTAACTGCAGTTCAGGTGGGATATCCTGGATGTAGGGAAGTCTGATGTCTTTGAAACACCTACCCTCAAGTCTACTTTACCTTGTTTGCCCATAGACATTTTCTGTGAAGGGAGTTCAAGGCTCTCTCAAAAAAAGAAAACTTGCAGTTAGGTTTTCTGCTGCTCTTGGCTTCTCAAGAATAAAGTTTGTGGTGAAACTTCAGAACCACCAAGGTTTGGAGTTCTCACTACTGAGTGTAAGTGGGTAATATTTGAGAAGGTGTAGCCTCAACTGGAGGGAAAAGAAGCTACACAGCTCAATTGTTTATTTTCCTTCCTCTTGCTTAGCCAAATGCAGGAGGCTAGTCCTGTTTAGGCTGCCTTTCCTCTCTCTCTTGGGGACCAGCTAAGTCACCATCCCTGGGGCACAAATTTCTGCTTGAATTGAACTGACTGATGCTTTAGTGTATGGGACCTCTGGCTGCTGGGAAAACATGCATTTCAGTTTTCTTCTTGTGATTGATTTCAAGTTTTATAGCTTTATGGCCAGAGAAGATACTCAATATGATTTCAATCTTCTTAAATTTATTAAGACTTATTTTGTATCCTAACATGTGTCACTCTAAAATCTTGCTATAGTTGTCTCCAGGATATGTGGAAGAATTTTGTAGTTGAAGTGATTTAGGTTCACTGTTTTCACTGTTTTCTTTCTTTTTCTTCTTCTTTGAGAGTGTGGATAACTTCTTGTTTGACTAGAAAAAGCTCACCTGAGAGCACGTATGAGGGCCTGGGCAGGGCTTGCGGGAGAGCACGCACATTTCTCTGGTGTGCTCCTGTCAGCTGTTTGGGAATCCGCTGGCTGCCACCACTGCCCCTCTGTTATTCTTCGAGCTCCCTGTGGAATTCTTTCTTAACACCCTTCTCTAATCCCTCCTCCCCTGCTCTGGCTGGCCAGGTCTTGTGGAACATGAATGTCCTGGAGCAGCCCTTGTGCCTGACAATCTCTTTCCCCCAGGTCCTGTCAAGACCCCATCTCACTCCCCACAATCATGTTCCTTATACATGGTCTCATTTTCTCAGTTCTGTCAAGGAGACGGTTTAATCTGATAGGTAAATGTGAGGCACAGAATGTTTGTAGATTTTAACAGCAGCTGTTTGTTAAATAGCAGTGAATCTGCTATTGCTCTCTGACCTAAAGGAGAGTCTCTCAGGGCAAAGTGGGGAGTTCCAGGGAGGGTGTCCCCCATGGTGGGAGGCTCCCTTGCTCAGTCCAGCTTTGCGCCTACCCATAGCCTTATACCAGAGCAGTGAAAATTAGACTGCTCTTGGGCTGTGTGTGGCTCTTTGTGCTTGTTCAGGCCTCTGATGTCTGCAGGGACATTCCATTATCCTGGACCCCATAGGACATCAGCAGTTCTGGGGCTCTCCTCGTTAATGTTGCATATGACAAGCCTCCCAAAACACAGAATGTGACAAACTCCCATTAAGAGAAACGCTTTTGCAATGTCTATCCAATTCCCAAAGTCACTTAGACTACACATTGATTTAGCCTTAGGAAAATAAAAGAACAGGAAGTTGTCTATTAAACACTAAAATTAAGAAATTAAAAGGTAGCTGTTTATTAGCATGTTCACCCCCCTTCCCACCTCCCATGAAGAGAGGAGCAGCATTTCTAGTGTAGCTGTATTTGCTTGGATGTGAAGATCTCCATCTAATGAAAATCCCAGACTCCGGGCTGAGCTGGAGGGAACGTCTTGAGTGGCTCAGACCCAGGCCTTCGAGGCAGGGGACGGACACTGTGGTACTTAGTTTGTGGTACAGTATCTGGAAAAAGCATTGGTTACATATTTGTAACCCTTAGCTAATGAGTCCCAGTCGGCAGAGGCTGAGCTGAACACCACACAGGCAGCAGACCATCAGCTCGCTACTCATAGAGGTAAAGATGTCAGTGAAATGAGGCCTTGTCTTTTCATGGAAACTGGCAGCTAATTTCCCCCCTAATTAGTTACAATACCATTAACACAAAACAAAGGATTTTATTATTTTCTTAAACAAAATGGTGCCAGAATCCTAGAATTTATTTTCTAAGTGTGTCATCAACATATATATATACACATACAACAAGCTTAAAGGTTAGACTGCTCAGAAGTTTCCTAGCGGAGCCCGTCTGTTCTCCATGCTCTTGGGGTTTCCTGAAAGCAAGTGTGATGACAGAAGGATGTGCTCCGTCTCCCCCAGGCCCTAGCCCTCTGTTATTATAACAATTATTTGGTATTTTGTAGTTTGCAAAGGGCTTGGATTTGTAGAATCTTAAGTGGAGTTCCTTGCTAGGATTAGTGGAAATAAAAAGAGACCCATAGGGTAAAATTTCAGAATATTACTGCTCAGAAGGGCTTTGGGAGTCTTTCAGTCTAGCAGTTCCTAAATTGTGTCCAGGAGAATATTAGTCCCGAGAAATAAGATTTGAAAATAGGGTTCCAAGATAAAATAAATTTAGGAAACATGGAGCTCTGTTTATCTTCCTGGTGATTCACAGTGCGTATCAACAAATTAAAGTCCCCGGAGGAATCCTAAAATGAAAAAAGAATTAACTTTGTTTTAATGCAGAGTTGCTCACATTTCTTTAAAGAATAGTTTATTGATTTTTAAAAATATATTTTTATTGATTTCAGAGAGAGGAAGGGAGAGGAAGAGAGAGAGAGAAACATCAATGATGAGAGAGAGTCACTGATTGGTTGCCTCCTGCACGTCCCCTACTGGGGATCGAGCCGGCAACCCGGGCACGTGCCCTGACCGGGAATTGAACTGGCAACTCTTCAGTGCACAGGATAATGCCCAGCCAACTGAGCCACACCAGCCAGGGCTAGAATATCCCACTTTTGTTTGATTATGCATATCTCAATCTCTTGCCTTTAAAAAAAATAATTTATGGAAACCAAAACCTTAAAGTTACACAGCTAGTTGGTGGCAAACTCCCATCTCATGATTCACAGGCTCCAGATCATTATAGAACTTGGTAAGGTTTGTGACTTACTCCTGTCATGACTCACAACTGAGGACTTGTGGAGTTGTGACGGGGCCATGCGTGTGTGGTCTGCACCCTCTGACATTCTGATTTGCTAAGCCATTCCCCTGAATCTAATGATGCTTGGTGATTCCCCAGGCTGAGGAGAAGGCAACAGCAGCCTATGCGTTGTGCTCATTGAAAGAACTGCTGAAGGTTGCAGTGTGTCTGAGCTCCTGCGTCTGAGAGGGGTTTGGCCCTGCTGCCCACTGGTGAATGCAGGAAAAGACCACCTGGCTGCAGTCAAGGCCAGTCCAAGGCAAGTCAGTGAAGAGGTGACATGGGCCTTCAGAAAAGCTCTGTGTTTTTTCATTTTATTTTTTAATCCCTTTACATACCCAGTGACTTTTAATAAAAATTCTTCCCTGGCAGCTTTTGTTCACACTAAAATGTAAATGATTGCTAACTACAATGAAAATGTTACATATTCCATAGGGATTTACATTTTAACTTAAACCCTGTGATAAAGAAATAAAACTCTGAGAGTTTATCTTGAGGCAAGTACGCAGGTGAAGGAGACTTTTTAAGAGGGTACATGGAATCTTAAAACTATACCAGATAAATAAATATATTTTCTATGTTTGAATAAGGATAGCCTGTACTCTAAAAATACACATTTCTAGCCCTACCCAATATAATACACAGGCCTTGACATTTTATTTTAAGGTTTCTGATAAAGCACCTCTCTTCACAGGATGAGTTAGCCTTGGTGAGTCCTTAGAGAGCAATGTGACTTGATTCTTTACACATGACCCCTGCCTTTTACTACTCAGAGAGATGAGGGTGCTGCTCAGTGCTGCACACTCAGTCATTTCCTAGTAATGAGTAAGCCGTCATGTACCAAGCCTGGGGTGAAGACCCAGGGACATGGGGAGGCCTAAGTCATGGTTTTGTCCTTAAGGAGCTTTACCTTCAAGAGGGGACATTAATGCATTCATGTAAACAGATAATGATAACTTGATATTTCTGTAGTGGAGACTTGTACCAGGAATGGTGGAGTGGATCTTCATGACAAGGTATTTTCAGCTTCTTTGAAGAGTCAGTTCTATCTGATAGCACTTCTATTAGAACTCCAATGTTGTGCTGTTCTTCAGGTTCTTAATCTCGGTCAAAGTCATGGGTGGGGCTTAAAGCATAGATCAGTTGTCTGCACGATGTGGTGTGTACGGTGAAAAAGCATCCTCTCCATGCATCATAAATAGCACAAGATCTTAAGGTGACGTGTATATCTATGTTGGTATAAAGTCTTTTGTTATTGGACAAAGATAATACTCTAACTTAGGAAAAACTATGCCTTTGAAAATTATTAAGACTTACTTAGATAGCCAGCAACTTCCGAGTAACATGCAGTGGGAAAGAAAGGCCTTTACTTTTTTTTTTTTATTCAAAAGAATAGCATTTAGTAATGTCATTAGGCCCTGGCATCTTTGTTTAAGCTAATTCATGCAACTAAGGTACTGACATATTAGTGGAGAACATCATGAAAAGTTGACATGGGGAATCATCTAAGCTTTCTTCCTCAGGCTCTGTGGGATATCTCATTCATGCAAAAGTCTGTGTAGGGGATGCAAGTGGTGACCAGTGCCCCAGGAGATATGCAATGTGGGGACAGTACCCTGTCTATGAGGGTCTTGGTTTACTCTGTGTTCTTCTTTCTATACATCTGCCACCTTGTAAACATAGCATAAGGTTAAACAATAGCATACCATTATAATTGTTTTTTTTAACTTGTCAATTGTTTTTTTAATCCATCTCCCCTCATGTTTGGGAAAAAGGAGAATTTAGCCTTTAATTTGAAAACAACAAATGGGCAAGGAAAAACAAGCTTACTACAAACAAGAATGTTCCTCTGTTACATGTATCAATACAAAACTGTCTTCAGTTATTCTTTCTAATATCTTCATTTAATAATGATTGTGACACGAATACTTTTACATCAAAACATCCAAAAGAAATTAAGTTCATTTTTTTCCCCATAGATTCTCTGCGGTCTCTGCAGTGCCATACCTTCTGTCGTTGCATTTGCAGTGAGTGGTCTCGTCAGCGCTGAGGTATCTCCCAAGCATTAGGCTGGAAGTTCCCCACCTGCAGCGTTTGTCCTCTGTTCCCACAACCCACCATGTTTTCTGGAATAATAAATGTGCTCCTTAGTAGCCCTTGCAGGCATGGATGCTGAAACACCAATCATTTTGCTTCTATAGGATGTTGATTCGATAACGCAACCTGTGATAGAGCTCAAGGGAGGGCCTTCCACCCACAACCCACAATCCTGCTATTCACTGGCCATAGCCAAGAGGTCCAGATTAGAGATTCTGACAAGTTAATACTGGGGTAGCCACTTCTTTCCCCACATGGTCCACTTCAGGATTTACCTCTGGTGTAGAGTTAGTTGATTGAGAGACATTTGTAGACCACAACAAAGTAGGGAAATAGGTGCCATTGCCTTGGAGGTCCTGGGCACAGCCCCAGGAGTATGTGCCCACATGGACTTGGGCTGAAGATCCTGGACTGATGTTGACATTTTAGCACATGAGAGACTCTCAGCCCAGTGCAATAGGATTTTCTTTGATTCTTTCCCAGTGTTTATCCAATTGTAAACTCTACTCTTATTTGAATAATTGTTATACTTGTTATTAGTAAGCCAGAATGAGAAGTTCCTGAATAATCCATTTGGTATCAATAAAAAAATCACTGTTGAAATGTATAATTGTTATTTTGGGGAAAATATGAAGAATAAAATTATTCTATTTCTGACAACCCTAGTTCATCTTTTCTCCCATTTTGAGCTTATAATTCTGGCTTTAAATCCCAGAACAGTGCTTCCTGCCAAAATATACAGTCTCTATTTATGCCTGAATAGCTCAGAATAGTTTCTTCAGTATAAAGGAGAATTCCCTTGTTCCATCCAAAGGATTATAGGACCTCAGTGTGTATCTTGCTGCTGAGCTCAAGTTCCTTAAAAGCCAGTTTTGGTTGACTGTGATTTATCTGAGGTTTCTCACTGCATCCAACTCCACCCTTATTTCATACATATTCTCAGAAGTGAATGTTTTAGGAGAGTGCACATGCCATGAATGCTCCTTGGATGGGCTTGTCTCATAGCCCCGGGCATCGTGAAATCCTCAAAGAAGACTGCTTTTGAGTTGCATGAGTAAGTGTTATTGAATTAGGTTCTGATTTCTTGATGAAGAACCTCATCTGTATTATATTTGCCATGAGCAATGCAACTGATACCATTTGGACACATCCAAAGACTATAGGCTGTATAATATTGGCTTTTAGGTAAGTCAGGATTGAAGTATCACATTTCCCCTCTGAAGTACCTGACCCCAAGCTGTTGGCACAGAACTTCATTAATCAATTAGAGACAGAGGAGATGGCCAGGGGACTGCAGTCACTTGTGGACCATTGTGGGCAACCTGAAGCCGAAGCCAAAATGTAGCCATTTTATCTTTGTTCCCAATTTTTCATTTGAGTTTATAGAAATTCACATCTAGTGGCCCCAAGCCACATACACATATCTCAGCTAGTCTTCATGTTTAGCCTAATGGCTGCTGCTTGGGTCAAAGGTTTGAATTGGGTCAAATATACAGAGATGGAAGGAGACTTGACTTAGGGTGGTGAACACAGCGCAATACACAGATGATGTATCAGAACTGTACACTTGAAACTTATGTAACGTATGTCACCCCAATAAATTTAATAATTAAAAAAAATAAGTTTCTAGGCTTGGCTGTGTGGCTGGCTCGTGCAGCTGGTGCACCCAGTCCTGGACTCTGTGCCCCGCCCTCTGCAGCCCTACCTGTGTCTCATCCGGCTGGACAAGCCCATTGGAACCCGGCTGCTATATCTGCCATGTACCTGGAGCATTGGATTGGCAGCTAAACTGGGTTGTTTTCCAGATTGGTACATGTTTTCCCTGTTTGGCACTGGAGCTGTTCTGACACGTGGAGCCGGCTGTACTATTAATGACATGTGGGACCCGGACTGTGATAAAAAGGTTGCAAGAATAGCAAATTGCCCAATAGCTGCTAGAGACATTTCAACTTTTCAGTCCTTCTTTTTTGTCGGGGGACAGCTGACCCTGGCACTGTTCTGTGTCTGAATTACTACGGCACAGCTCTTGGAACAGCATCCCTACTTCTTGTCATCACTTACCCGCTAATGAAAAGAATTATGCACTGGCCTCAATTAGCCTTAGGATTCACTTTTAATTGGATAGCATTAGTTGGATGGTCTGCTGTCACGGGCTCCTGTGATCCATCTGTTTGCCTGCCTCTTTATTTTTCTGGAATTACGTGGACTCTAATGTATGATACTATCTATTTCCATCAGGACAAGAGAGATGATGCGCTAATTGGTTTTAAGTCCATGGCACTGAAGTTTTGCGAAAACAACAAGTGGTGGCTCAGTGGTCAGACTGCACCCTACTCCACTGCTCTGGCTGCTGTCAGAGCCCATCCTACTTACCAGGTTTACGCTCTAGACAGCCACAGACCTGAGGATTGTTGCGGTAAATTTGCCTCTAACCGAATAGTAGGACTAATAGTTTTTTTAAGGAATTGTCCTTGGAAACTTGTGGGGGGAAAAAGGAGACAGATGAAACAAAAAAAAATATAGATAGTAGAATAGAAAATTAGCAAATGAACTTTATCTAGGAATTTTTATTTTTATTTATTTATTTATTTTATTTATTTATTAATATATCTTTATTGATTTCAGAAGGAGGAAAGGAGAGAGAGAGATAGAAACATCAATGATGAGAGAGTCATTGATCGAGCCCACAACCCGGGCATGTGCCCTGACCGGGAATCGAACCCCGATTGCCTGGATCCTAGGTTGATGCTCAACCGCCGAGCCACGCCCTGCCGGGCTCTAGGAATTATTAAATCAAACTTTTACAAAACACTCTCAGGTCTTGTCACTACATAATTAGATTTGAATAAGAGTCTTACAGTATGTTAAAGAATTAAGAATTAGAAGATGAAAACATAGAGCATATTTGCCTGGATTTTAGTTCAAGCATTTAACAGCAAAATTCTCCCTCTTTCATGGACACCTGGAACTCTTCAGGATTTGAGATGACCTTGAGTATTTAAGTTGATGTCTTCTGTTTATTATAATTCTTATCTCTACTTATGGAAACTGTATGAGTTTTGGCGCTTTAGAGGAAACTGCATCTAGATAAATGCCTGTGGGAAAAATGGGCTCTCTTTCCAGGGAAAATAAAGGCTGCCATGGGGAGGGGGGGAGACAGGGAAAGAAATTTCTGCTCCTACATGTATGCCTAGATATGGTATATTCTGCTGCATGGGGGGGGGAGGGGGCGTGTGCTATGTTTATTAAGTATTTTGTGCCAGGCAGTGCGCCATGTGCTGGGAATACAGGGGTGGCTGGGTGCCTCTGTCAGCCAAGTGCCATTAACTCTAATGGGAGAGGAAACAGAGGCAAAACATTTCAATGAAATTTGATTAATGCTATGCACAGGGTGTGGCAGACACTGTTTGCTGCCCCTGTAACCATGACCTCCTTATAGTTGATAGACCTCTGATTTTGTTCAGATTGGCAGGGTGTCCAGCTAATCTCTCACCGCCCTAGGCTCCCTTCATGCCAGGTGTGGCCGTGTGACAGAGATCTGATGAGTGGGACACGCACAGAGGTCTTATGGCTGCTGTCCTGAGAAATGGGGATGATCACAGGGACACTGCCTTTTTCTTACTTTGAAACATGAACATAATGCCCAGTGATGTAGCAGCCATTTTAAAAATTAAATTTTATATATTTAAGGTGTACAACATGATGTTTAGATATGCATTACATAGTGAAGTGATTACTATGGTCAAGCTAATTAGCATATTCATCTCCTCACATAGTTACTATTTTTTTTTTTTTTGTGGTCAGAGTGCCTGAAATCTCTCTTAGAGAATTTCCAGCATACAACACAATATTATTAACTAGAGTCATCATGCTGTACATTAGATCTCTAGATTTGTTCATCTTATATAACTGCAACTTTGTACCCTTTGACCAATATCACCGCCTCTTCCCTGCCCCTGGTAACCACTGTCCTACTCTCTGCTTCTATGTAGATTCCACATAAAGGGAGATTATGCATATTTTTCTTTCTGTGCTGGTTTACTTTGCTTAGCTTAATGTCCTCCAGGTCTAGTATCTATATTGTTACAAAGGGCAGGATATCTTTCCTTTTTAAGATTGAATAATAATGTTTCTCTCTCTCTATATATATATATCTATCACAAATTTTTTATTAATTTATCCATTGACAGCAGCCATTAGCTGATGTGACCGTGAAAGAGACAAGCATGCAGGGAAAAGTAAGAGCGTGTTAGAGATGGTAGCCCTGATGCCAGCTGCTATTTAAATCCAAAGTCTCTTTATGTGAGAAAAATACATGTGTATTTGTTTTGAGGTTCTGTAAGGCAGGTTTTCTGCTACTTGCAACCGAAGACATTCCTAAACAAGACAGCTCCTATGGATGTGAAGAAAAGAGACATTTCTTGTGGAATACTAAGTAGCTGAGAGGAAGCACTATTGCGTGGGAAAAGTGGTTGGACAAATGCCTCTTAATTTTTAACGAGGACATTCTCACCCATCACCTATATACCCTTCAGCACACCGCTCAGGTTGCAATGAAGAGGGACAGAAAACTTGGATGGGCCTGGCTTCTGGGAAATTCCAGTCTAATTTAAGACATGATCCTTTAGAGTCTTCCATGAACTAAAGACAGTCTGCAAGCAAGGGGCAAACTAGTCAGGATGTCATGTGAGTGACTCCGTGTGTTCAGGAACCTCGGCTGGGAACTCACAGTTTCCTCTGACTTAGATCACACCAGAGCCATCCACAGCCCACATTTCAGGTTGAACCCTTGCCACGTTTTCCAGAAGCACGGCCTTAGAAACCCTGACTGGGGCCAGCTTCACAGATATGCAGCTGCCAAGACTAACAGACTGGTAGACAGTCTTTTTGTGCCCTCGCAACTCTCAAAGAGATACCTGCTTTTTCCAGTAATTCACTTCTCTCTCTCTGCCTTGCCCTTTTCTTTCTCAGGCACAAGTTGAGAGTCTCACAGATGGCTTTGGGGAAAATAACTGCTTGTTCTCAAACAAGCTGTTGGGAGACACATTCCTGCTCCCTCCCTTCCTCTCTCAGAGTTCTTGGCCTGCCTTGGCCCTGTCTCCGGGAGATCAGGACGCTGCTGCTTCACTCTGCAAGTCCCCATACCTTTCAGCAGTCCCGCTGGCAGCCTGCGCTGCTGGCGTTTACATTTTTCTTCTAAGCAGCTTGGCAAATTGGAGCCTTTGCCTCTCTGTTCTAAAGCCTGGCTTTTAATTTCTGGGCTGAAGGGAACATTCAGTATCGTGCCCACGAACCCACAGGCCTCAGACAGCTCTCCCACCCTTTCTCCCATGCTTACCTGTAACCTCCAAGGCGTGGCTCAGGATGGAAAACAAAACACGGAGTGAGCTGGTTTGAACTGGGGCCCCATTTATGGGGAGGTGAGGCAGGACAAGTTGGGTGTCCATGAGCATGACTTGGCTTTGAGGGCTGGGAGAGAAGCCTTAGGGGACCCACGGAAATGCTATGTCTGTGATGTAAAATGAGGACAAGCACAGTTTGTGTTCCTTCATTTAGTTTCAGTGGATTGGAGGCAGGTGAGGAGTCCAGTGATTTTAAAGCAGTCACTTAGACAAAGCTAATCGACGTGTCAAAAATGAAAATAACCATTGGGACAAAAGGCAAGGGACATCTGACATTCATGAGACTGGGCATGTGTTAAAACATGGTCTTGTCTTTGGGTTTTCATTCCATTGAAATAAGTGGAAACTGCCCTTCAGTAAGATTTATTTCTGCTTCTGCCCCAAATGTGCTTTATGTATCCTTCTGAGGTTTGGTTTCTTCACTGGTAACTTGGGGATAAATATATGTGTTCTTCTAAGGGTTAGTTTGAAGCTCGTATCAACTGATGTCTGAAAGAACTTTGTAATCTCACAAGTTCATTTTTCCCTCTCTCTCTCCTCCTCTCCTTCCCTTCTCTCCCTCTCTCTTTTCCTCCCTTTTTTCTTGCTTCATTTTCCCTTCCCTTTTTCACTAAACTCTCTTCCCAGGAACCAAATAAGAACAGTCTCTCATAAAACAAAAGGCAGAAAGGCAAAGCTCAGAGGGACATAAGTCAGTACCTCTTCCCAAGCATGACTAGCTCTCAGAGCAGAGAGGAGCCAGAGCTGCTTAGAACTGTTAGCCTGTGATGCATTTTGGTCACTTTTGTCTTTACAGACTTTTAGGGAACCAGCTCTCTGCTTTCAGAATCCATGTGGTATACACACTCTATGTCTTTCCCTCCTCCCTCTCTTTCCTTTGGATGGAAGGCGAGAATTGAGATAACTGAACAACACAGAATAGGCAGGTGCCTCCTTTTGGAAAACTGAGGCTACATATAACTAGAACTAGATTTTAGGGTTTCAGAGAAAAGGGTACACAGTTCTAATATTCACCAATATCCACTTCCAGATCCACAGGGACTGTGATACCATGTCCTTTGAAATCAGGCATTGCATAGAGGAGACTAGAGGTGGCCAGTGAAATGTGAGCAGAAGTGACATGTATAACTTAAGAATCCCAGTGACTGCTGTGGGACTCTCCTGCTTTCTCTCACTGCCATGCTGACCAAGGGGCCATTGTTTTAGATGCAGCTAGGGGGGAGCAGAGACTCTGCAAGGCTGGACTGCAGAGTCACCACAGGAGGGACAGCTGCCCTAGAGTGTCCTGCACTGTAGAGGATTTTGTGTAAACAAGAAGCCAAACTTTGTGGGATGGGGTGGGGCAGCATAGCAGCTTACCAGCCTATGCTGAGCAGTACAGGGCATATGGAGAGCAAACGTATGCTCTTCTTTTGGTGGCTTTCCTTACACGCTGCCCACTTGTAAGCAGCCAAACCGCTGCAGAGTGTCCCACTTCTCTTGTGTTTTTCCTCTATCCCAAGCCCAGAGTAGCAGCTGTGTGGAGGGTTGCAGCTGTTGGAAATGATGGGGGAAACGTCTACTCTTCCCTTCAGAATTAGTCTTGTCACATAAATGGTTTACATGCTGGTGGTCTCCACAGATGCCAAGCATGTGTTCTCAGGTGCTTCCCCTGTTCCACTTGCGGCCCCATCCCAACACATAGACAGGAGCCACGGACCCCCCACAGAGCCAGGAGAGTTGTAACCATTCAGGGGGCCCCAGGTCCTCTTCGGAAACTAGCAGACCTGATGTGCGCCACCCACACACCCAGCTGTTGCAGAACTGATGCAGCCGCAAGCAAAGAGGATCTGCAGAGCTATTTCCTGGCAAGGGATGATGAATGTGGTTTGGTCTTTTTTCTTTCTCCCAGAGTATGAAAATAGTATATCTCAAATGACTTAGAAAAGGATACTGTGCCTGAAAGGTAGTTTGTTTTCCTGTGGGTTTGCTTATATCTTCACTCTGCGTTTTCCTCAAATATATTCGATTCCTGAGGTTTTTAGAATTTGTATCACAATCTCGATATGGACATTATTTTGGCTTAAAGTGAGTGTAATCACAGTTTAATGTAATTTTCCATAGCATTTATTTAAAAACTAATATCCATATTTAAATATATATAAAATTTAAATATTAAAATTTATAAACTGATTAAAAGATGTTAGGATTAAAAATATGTTCAAACCTAAAAATGGAGCTTTTAAGGTATATTACCAAAGCATACCTTCCCAGGAAAGTTCTAGCCTTTTATAATGTCTTTAGCTGTACAATTGATTAGGTGGTGTTGGAGTAAGCCAATATATCTAAGCCATCAGCTGTTAAGAAGTATTGCTGCTCATTAAATTAGTTAAAAACGTAGATAGAACTTGCTGACGTTATCTTAAATTTTGTATTCATATTAATCCAAGAGTTGAACAAAATTTTGTCAGTTCTGTTTTATTTGAACTTATTCCATTTAATACATTTTAAAAGTGTTTTTCCCCTTCCACTAACTAAATTGCATTTAATTATGGTACAAATTCTAGCTCCACATTTCTGACCTGAGATGGGGGTGGGAAATCTCACTGGAAATCAAAAGATAATGATCATTCTGAACTTGAATATAATTAATTACACTTTCTATTAGGTGTGATGACCCAGTATGGATTGGTAATAAGCACAATCACTGTGGTAGGGTTTGGATGAATCTTATGTATGTTGAATTCGGGGACATAAATGCACATCTCTGTGGCCAGTCCTCGTTTACTCAAATTTCATCTTTTGAAATTCAATCCTGACTCATTAAGGTAAATTTCAGATGAAAATTGTAATACAGATATTAAGTTAAAACACAGATTTGGGCTAAGTTCTACCTTTTGCTGTGCTCAGACAGCCTTCATGGCTTTGATAAGAAGACTTGCCAGCACATGTGTGGACAAGATTTGGCCTCAGGTAGCTGGATGAGTGGTAGTCGTGTACAGAACTGAAAGTTCCTTAGTCCATTAATGAATTCTCACATTATTCACTGCAGGTATCTTTCTGCCTGGGGTTTCCAGTTGAGACTAATAAAGCCCAAAGGGACTCTGAAATCTGTGAAACAAAGTACTCTACTCTTTAGGCTGGATAAAAATCAAGGTGCATAATTGAGTATGTCTCAACTTCTGTCTATCATAAAGAGTTTGCCAAGGTTAGTACCTGTCTGAAGTCTACAGGAAGAATTGTCTAGCTTGACTCAACAGGAAGAACTGGTCTTGAAACTGTGACCTTTGGAGGCAGTTGAGACTAGGGGAGGAGAGGAAAATCAGAGTTTTCTCATTAATACAGCATTCCTATCCCTCATCTTAAATATCCTTACACAGATGGCTATCCATAAAATTCTGTACTTTCTATCTCTGTGACTATTTTGTAACTACCAATTTGTGCTTCTTAATCCCTTTAACTTTTTCACTCACCCTCACCCAATGCCCCTCACCCCCCACTCTGGCAATTATCATTCTGATCTATATCTATGAATCTGTTTTTATTTTTTGTTCATTTACTTTGCTCTTTAGATTCCAGATGTAAGTGAAATTATATGGTATTTGTCTTTCTCTGCCTGACTTACTGCACATAGCACAATACCCTCTAGGTCCATCTATGCTGTCAAATATATGGAACATTACACAAATTTGCCTGTTGTGTTTGTGTAGAGGCCATGCTTATCTTCTCTGTATTGTTCTAATTTCAGTATATATGCTGCCAAAGGTAGCACATTAAGGAAAAGTCTTAATTAAGATCAGTGCACACCAAAATTTCATAGATTCAAAAGGACTCCATTGACTTATTCAATTGGGTGGTACCACTGAATTGGAATAATATTTAAAGTCAGCATATCAGTTAAGAAAGACTAAGTTATGCTTGGTAACAAACAGCTCCAAAATTTTGGAGGTTTAAAACATTTGTTTGAATTACCTGTCCATTGTAGGTTGGTTTCTATGGGGTAGGGCTGGGGAGATCTGTTCATTGTCTCATGCCAGGAAACAGGATAGGAGAGACTATATGTCCATCTGGCCAGATTGTCAAGATAAGAAAAAAGGAGGGGTGGCAAAAGGAACAAGGCAGCTTATACACTGATTTTGTAGCTTTCTCTTGGAAGTGACACATGTCACATCTGTTCACATTTCATTGGCCAAAGTATTTAAATGGCCACACCTAACTTCAAGGGCAAGGAAGTGTATCCCTAATTATTTCTCAGAAGGAGAATTAAAAATATTTGGTGAACAACATTAATTATCTCCACACTGGACTTTTTACTCATGCTAATCCACCTAAACCCAGTAAATGCTGAAGTGTATTTAATGAGGAGTTCTTCCATCAAGCCCTTGTGTCTCATAGAGACATCTCAACTTTGATCTATATTGCTGGAAAGTTTGCCCCTTCGTGGGCCTGAAAATGAGCTTAGCTGTAGCATCAACGTTTAAAGGAGCAAATGATTAGCCAGCATTCAGAGTATCTCTCTTTTGGGACATGATATGAAGGGGCCAGGGAGTAAACAAATACAGGAAGACAACTCTGGTATAGTTAAAAAAAAGAAAAGAAAAAAGACAGAATTTGAAGCCAGAAGACTAGTTTTAAACTCTACCTGGCTCTGCTGGGTAAGTAATTATGCATCCTTTATTTACCCTCTAGGCGCCTTAGTTTCTCCACCTGGAAGGTAAATAATCAAAAAAGGGTATGAGCACTATGTAACTATCATAGAATGGAAGAATGCACTGTTCTGAGCCTTCGGCATGTCTGAGCTGTGTCCAGATTTTAATGAACCCCTAATTCTGTCTCAGGAAAATAGAACTGGCACTTGGCATGTCACCAACCAATATCATTTTTATATGTCTGAAACTCTAATTTTAAATCTATAAAACATAACAGTTATAAGGATAATACAGAATTATTTTACACCATAATACCTAAAGCTCATATCAGTTGCCAGCACTGAACAGATAAACCAAGTGAGTAATAAGTAAAGTAACAGGACAAAACTAAATTCTGAATAGGAAATGAACGGAATAGAAAGTGAAGTGCCACTGGGGGAAGGAAAAGTAAAATATAGTCAGACCAAAATGTAAGTTGCTAGATCTTTACATTGATATTATTACATTATAAACCTATACATTATGTGCAAACTCCCTTTGTTATTATATCATTACAGTTTGAATATTTAGGGTTATTTGTACATTTTGTGGGGATACTAATTGGAAATTTAGGTTCTGGAATTTTTTTGGTCGTATTTAAAACTTATAGCCTTGTCTTCTTTCTCTCTCTTTGTTTCTGTTACATTTATTAATTATAGCTGCTATGTTTCATGTAGAATACTGGTATTAGTGATATCAATGTGTTTAGAATATTTTCCCTGCCAGAGAAAGATACAAAAGCAAGAGATAGTAATGAGGTAAGGCTATAATACATGTAGGGATAAAATGCTATAAGAGCAAGAAAAAGAAATTAACTATGTTTAGGGAGGTCAGGGAAGGATTCACAGAGAAAGTGACATTTGAATTGGGTTCACTGTCTAAGAAGAAAGGCGGAAAAGAAATTTTAGGTAGAAGAAACAACATTATGCATCTTGAATGTCAATTAATTCAAAGTCTCTGAAATGCAGGGGTTTTGTAGAGAGGTAAGATTGCAAAGATAGGCAAGGATCCTGACCATGATGATCTTTTTAGACCAAAAAAGGCTAACATTTTTATTTATAGAATGTCCACGTTATTATATTACAAGTACAAAAAATACTGCTTATTCTCAAGCTTATGAATTTGTGAATTACTATATTAATCTATGTATTAGTATCTAAAATTAACCCCTACCTTGGCTCATCTATGTGATCAAGATTACCTTCATAATGTAGCAAATCTCCTGTCCTGACTTTGAAATCATTTCATAAAAGTACCGGTCCCTATTAGGGAACCTAGTCCACACACCCAGTATTTTAACTCCAAAGCATTTGAGTGTGATTCATTTCTTGGAGTTGTGCTTGACTTTCGTGTAATTGTTACAAACACACAGACACAGGGAATGTCCTTGAGATTTTTTCCATTGTGTAACCCAGTGCTGAAAGCTTTCAAAATG